GGTAATGGTCGTCCCCAGTAAGGGGTGACGGCCGTACCCAGTAACGGGTGACGGCCGTGCCTCAGTAATGGGTAGTGGTGGTACCCAGTAATGACTAATGGTTGTACCCAGTAAGGGGTGGCGGCCGTGCCCAGTAACAAGAGGTGCGGAGAGGGTAGGTTGAGTACTTTACTCTGGAGATCAAGAGAACATTGGCTTGAGTTGAAAGACAATAACTATGGATCTAATTGCAGAAAATCCCGGAATTTTTTTTTCTTTGAAGTAGTTGATAGTTGTCTGTCATGTTCCCTGCCACGAGGCAGACGCGGAGCCGGGGCTGGGGAGCGCGGGGGTTTGGGTACGGCCGCGGTTAGCTGTTTGCAGGTTTGTGCGTGCGTTTTTTTACTCGTTTAAGCTTGGGTACTCAATCTCTGTCATGCGTGTTGGCAGTAATCCTAGAATATTCAAAACCACAAACAGAACAAAACCCATGATTCTCCCCTCTTTCAGTCACAGTTATTAACTTATTTAAAGGTGCTGTTGTTTCGGGGTGTTGACTTCTGATTCCAGAGCTGTTGGGTTGGCTTTCTTACGCAGGAGAGGCAAAACCACCGCAATTTCAGGTCTAAACCAAGGGTTTTCAGCACCGGCTTCACAGATCTATCTGAAAAGGAAACACAGCTTATCAAAGTGGGATGTGGAGTCAGGTTTTTTTAATTCTTTGGAATACTACGCAATAAAATTGTTCCTATTTCTGGCATTAGAATTTTTCTTACAGTGAGACTTTCGCTGCCTGACAAAACAGTTTTCCAACAAAGATTTCTCTTCTTTTTCCTCTGCAGGATGGCGGACACGGACCTTTTCATGGAATGTGAGGAGGAGGAGCTGGAACCGTGGCAGAAAATCAGTGATGTGATTGAAGACTCTGTTGTTGAGGATTATAATTCAGTTGATAAAACAGCTTCGGGTAATTAACTGTTTCACTCTAGAATTATTCCTGTTTCTGGTGTTAAAGGGAAATGGTGGTGATTGGTTACATCCTGTCCAGTAAGTAGCTAAAAACCCTGTTAACGAGTCAAATACCCAATTTCAATTTTGTGAACAGAGCCTTTGAGTGCCAGGTATCGCCAACGGTGCTGCTGGCCGAGGCCAGGTACCTGTGAATGAGTGGCCTGGGAGGCAGGAAGCGGCTTTTTTTTCTCTGTGCAGAAGTGTTGGAGAGGGCGGCCTGTTTAAAAAATACAAACGGAACTTTGGCGCAAAGTTATTTGTGTTGTACAGCCAAAGCAGTGGTTTCCTAAGAGTAGAGAATCGGTAATGTACCTGGAAGGTGATGCTTTCTCTGTTGCAAAGTGCTCGAGTGCGTGTCCGCGCTCAGCGGTAACATCCATCCGTCTGGCGGTTTGGAAATGAGTGAGGGAGTCAAGCGTGTGTTGTGTTTCCTGTGACTTAACTTACCTAGTCAAACCACTGAGGTTAAAACTAGTTTATTATGACTTATTCAACCCATGATTTGGTTTGATGTCATCACTTTCTGTTGGGGTGGGGTGTTTTTTTTGGTTTTTGGGGCTTTTTTTGGCCTGTTTTCCCCAGATGGAAATTTGTAACTTTGATGCTCAGAGTTTGCAGTTAATGTGCAGGTCTGTGTTGTTACCCACTGCTTGTCTCAAATAACCAGACACTTGGACTCCAGAAAGCTGTAACTGCCAGATGGGAGGCTTTGTGTTTGTCAGACGTCATTCAGCTTGTAACGGAACCGGGATGGTGCTTCCTGATTGTTGATTTCTGTTGGGTGAGTTGGGCCCCTGTGCATATACCCACCCGATAGAAACTAAACCTCCTTGCTGAGCATTTCACAATCTGGGAGAAAATGAACCATGACTATAATCAGAACAACTTTTATTCCCTGTCCCCTTGGTTCTTGCCAGACCAGTCTGGTGCGTGGAAGAAGGAATTCCTACCCAGCGATGTGTGTGGGTGGCGTGCTCGCGAAGCCAGGCTTTGTTCAGCCATTCGGTTACCTTCTTCTTGGTCAAGGTGAAGCAAAGCATCAGCTTAATATCCGCAACAGGGATGGGGCTGTGGCGGGTCATAGGCGGGGGATAACTACCGGTGGTGCTTCCGTGTGTCTGCTGCAATCCTCCACCCTGATCTAGCGTGGAGCGCTGCGGGAGCGTTCTCGCTCGTCGGTGCCGCTCATGGCAGCGGCTGTTCGGCCCCGCTCGTGGTTAACACGCGGTGGTTGTGGAAGCGTTCGGCGCTCGGGAAGGCTGGTTGGTAGTTGGAGGCGAGTAGGATGAGGCGGTGTCTGCGCAGGGAAGGGTGTGCTCCTGCTGCTGTCACCCCTTCCCCTGGCCTCCCTGCTGGGGGGGGGTAGGAGGAGCTCGCTCTGACCCGGATCTAGAGATGAAAGGCCAAAGTGATTCCGTCATAGATGTGTTGGAATGGACATAAAATGAGCAGTGGTCTTGAGTAAGCTGCCTTCCTCTTGCTTGTTCTCTTTAGTAGCAAACACAGAGCTAAAGAAGCAGGATGCAAGCGTGGACTATGGTACAAAGCTAAAAACCTCTCTGTGATCGTACGGCGGTGCGGTGAAGCGGCGCGCTGCTGTGGTGTCCCTACAAACAAACGGTGCTTTCTCTCTTTTTCTAAATGCGATGATGCCGTTCCTTTCTAGCAGTTCCAGTGGGTCTGCAGCCCCTTCCTGCCCCTCCGCCAGCTGGGCACTCATCTCTCTGCAGCAGCAGCAGTCAGCAGCGGTGGGGCTCAGGACAGTGACAGCGAGTGTGCCCAGCGACGGTCAGCAGAAGTGCCGGTTTGGGGCGCAGAGGGGACGCGGGAGGCTCGCTCGCAGCACGCTGTCGTGTGCTGAGCACGTGAGGCTGAGCAGGGACTACTGGGAGCAGCAGCGGGTTTGCTGTGACTCGAGAGTGGATCCAGCGTCCTTCCACAGTGACCATCGGTGGTGGTACCTCCGGGTCGGATACAAAACCAAAGTGCTGACTGCTCGGGGTCGCTCTGCTGTGCCACGATGCGCAGGAGTAGATGTGTTAAAGCTGTTGTGTTGGCTGAATTCCAAGGTGAATAATTCTGGGGTTTTTTTTTTACTGTTAAAGGATTGTCGTGCTTCATTTCAGAGATGGCTTAAGCAATCCCTCTGCTAATCTAATATGCTGAAAGAGAAAATGGGTTTAGGATCCTGTGGGATTAAGGAGCTGTAAAAGCGTGTTTGTCAAACTCACCTAGAAGTCATTGCATCATTTTTAGTAAAATCTGATCAGACACACAAGCAATGAGGAAAGGTCTGTACGTTATTTGAAACGGATGTCTTTGCTGGGGGTGTCTTAGAAGCATCTTGAACTCCAGCTGTATTAGAGATCGCTGTGTAATACCCTTGGGATGAATATTTCATAGCTTTGCTAATAAAGTCACTTGATACAAATGTTCTAAATCAATTACAAGAAATTATTAAAGGCTTGGTGATTCTATATCACTGTGCTATAATTAGATTAATGGTAAAAAATAAAGGAGTGCAGCTGCTAAACCCTGCTAATAGCAATATATTTATCAGTAAAATATTTGTGTACTCTTGACAAGTTCAAACCTGCCCCCACAGGATCTGCTGTCCGTTCCCAGATCCCGTTAAAGCTGGTGGGTTTGTACAGTTTGTGCAGGTTCACAACCATCTGAGAAACTTTTTTCTTTATTCCTTTATTGTTTGTTAGTTTTTTTCAGAAACCTGCCCCCACAGGATCTGCTGTCCGTTCCCAGATCCCGTTAAAGCTGGTGGGTTTGTACAGTTTGTGCAGGTTCACAACCATCTGAGAAACTTTATTCCTTTATTGTTTGTTAGTTTGTTTCAGAAAGAAGAGCCACGGTAAGCTGTGGAAACTAATCCAGAGCTCCGGCGTATGGCTTGAAAACGTAGCAGAAAAGGTTGGAAACGAAAACAAATTGTAGGGGTTTTGTCTTCTGTTCTCAGTCCCTTGCTGCAGCGTCAGATCCTCTCTGGGCTGTGAGGTTGTTGGGGGTTCAGGAGGATTGCTGTGCGCTGCTGCTGTAGGCTAGCTAGAAAGATTTTTAGTTTATGTTTATGGTGTGTGGTACAGTTCAAAGGCACACCGAACGGTTTCCCTAATGGCTTAGTTCCCTGCAGGCATTGGAGAAACCTTTCCCTGAACAGCCGGTATTGTGTTTCTAGACATTAATCACTCTCGTCTGTATGTCTGAATGAAATCATCAGCATCGTCGTCTCTTACGTGCTTATTCTTTTATTCTGGTTTGCAAACAGAATTGGAGGTAGCTGTTGGGGAAGCAACACCTTCAGAGTTTACTCGGTGGGTTAGAATCAAGAGTCAGATTTTAGGGATGTTTCTCAGCGTGGCTCCATCTATCACTTCCCATAGTCCTTTTCCTTTTCTCTATCTCATGTAGCATGTCATCTGATCCTGAATTACCGCTGTGGAAGTGACTGGAGTGGTGAGTATGGTTTGCTGTGCTGCCTGCTCGCGCGGGAATTGTCCCGCTGCCATCGTACCGCGGCAGGGACTGTGCTGGGCTCTTCTCGTGCTGCGGTGCTGCCTGCTGGGATCCCTCTCTGCCCCGCAGCGCAAGGAGAGTTTGTAGAATTTCTTAAAATGTTTGATCAGAGAACTGTTCTTAGACTGCTGAAAAAAATCTGAAAACCTCAGAGGCGTGTGTTGGTCGGCTTTGGAAGAGAGGAGGGAGGGAAGTGCCCTTTGCGGCCGCAAGCCGCGGTTACTTTCCAAACGGGCAGAATTTATGACTTGGCAGCTTGCTCAGCTCTGTTGGCACTGTCCAAACAAAACATTCAACATCAGTCAGAACATTCCACATCGCAGTCAGGGCTGGGTGTTTCGGGGCACGCTGCTTTCTGTGGGTTCTGTTGGTGTTTATCTGGCGGGCTGGGGTGGAAAGCAGCTCTGCACGGGCGGGGGGAACTCGCTGCTGGGTGTTCCTGGCCGCCGTCGCGTGGTCCCACTCCTTTGAGCGGTAAGATTTTTAAATTCTTTGGGATGGATGCTGTTAGGTCCAAAAATATGGAAATGTGCTTGGTTTGGCCTGTCTCAGCGCCTCGTGGTGGCA